GAAGACAAATTCACTGGCTTCGTGATCTACAAGAAGTTGCCGCGGTGAAGTTCGTTCCTGTTTGGACGGAAAAGCGATTCCTCAATCAAAGATTCAAGCATATGAACTGTAGAAGTAGTCTTTCTGCACGCTAGTCTACGCCAGTAAAAAAGGCTCGGTTTAGAGAAAATTCGCTTTGAAAGAGTTTCTTTTTGAATTGTTTTTATTTCGAATTAAAACTGTTGAGGAATTGAAAAACTGTGTGATATAACCTGTGTTTGTCTCCCACAGATACACGGCGGTGCACCCATAATCGATATACTTGAGCCGTTTTCTTCCTCCAAAATAGTCTAGATTTCGCCGTTTCTTCAAGTCGACAGATTTCAAAAACTTTCTTATCAAAACAGGTAAAAACAAACAGAAATATCTCGACAAAAACAACAGGCAGGTAGTTGTGAGTAAAAAAGCTTGAATATCTCGTTATTAAGCATAATTTTTATTTCGGATTCAGTGGAACAAAGAACTTTACCAGCTATGATGACAGTCCCTTTCCGCGGCCGTTATTGCGTGCAAAACTCGAACCAGTTTCACGGCACTGTGAAATGTCCTTTCCGAAAAATATCTGATGGAAGTTTCAATGCGCACGAAATCGTTTTCTGAATTCTGAAGTGTCTTTCAGCGAAATTTGTATGGCTAGATCAGTTCCCAAAAAATGGAATCGCAACAAATGCGTCAGAGATGTAACATTTTTAATTCTCATTTCGATAACTGAAAGGCTTTCATTATATGGTGTCCGGTTTTATAATTTAGTCAATTTCTGGTTTCATCAGTTCCTATCAATTATGAAATTAAAAACACACACACACACCGACAACGGGTTAGGGTTTTTTTTTCCTCGTTTAATTAGATTTATTTTGAATACTTGTTTCATATATGCCGAAGAAACAAAATATAGATCAAAGAAGATTTTTTCTATCAATACACTCGTACGATCGTTGGAAAAAGTATATGGACGATGGAATTTAGCTCAGTTTGTAAAAGCTTATTCGTAAAACTATTGTACTAACTAGTATTTTTGCATGACTGGTGAAAATGAAAATCATGATAGGAAACGACATAGGTCAATATTTTTTGTTACGCAAATCAGTGTATGATGGTTTTCGATGTCTAGCGTGCTTATCAACCGCACCACGTCTCAGTATTTTTCGCTTCTGAAACGCTAGTAACGATTCACTCGAAAGAGCGCTTAGGGGCGGCACTATTTTAAACTTGTCATTTTCGAGAAAAAAAAATTTTCCGGGGAATCTTTGTGTTTCTTCAGTAACAAAAGCATAAGAAGTCCGAGAACGATGTAACAATTTCAGGATCCAGATTGTAATCCACTAATGGTTTATTAAATTGTTCATACTTTTTCTTTAAAACTCTTCAATTTCGCGCCACTTTCACTGGAACTTAAAAGAGTGCCGTATGCGCCGCTCTCCTACTATAAATTATAAACATAGTCCCCCATTAGAAGATAGATAACAAGGTTAGAAGTTGAAAAACTATTTGATTGCGATTTGGTTGAGTGATTTGTTAGTCTCCCTCAGGGTTTGTGGTCCAAAATATTTGAGATTAATCGCAGAAGCAGCCTGTCTTTTGATAGTTTGTGCTGTTTTCATAACTGGGTCTTGTATGAATAATTTGAGACTTTGTCAACCTTTTCTCATCCGTAACCATGAAAGAGGCATTTTAGAACGGAATTTGATGGTGCGTAGGGGGGCAAGAATTTTAATATTCTGATACACGTGATGTTTTCATTCTTTCTTTGCAAAACGTAGCAAAACAGCAGAGAAAGTAAAACAGAACACATCGTACGTCCAAGATCGCTAAATCCACGCAAAGCTCTAGCAGCGGCCACTAGCACTGTTTTGGTTCATTTATTCTCTAGGGCGTCCGCGTGAGAGGACTGACGTGACGGCTTCAAATTTCCATTGATACGCTATTGTCTCAAATATCGATCATTTATCTACGAAAAAAAAAAACTAATTATAGGAATAATTTTTAGAACATCGCATTACATGTAATGAACGCGTTAGCTGTCTCTTCCCTGACATGTTGCACTCCAGGATGTTAAAAAACACGGACTTTCTAAACCAGCATCACCGTTGCGAAGTCAGTCGGGATCCGAAATTTAACTTTAACGGAGGCCATACGAGAGAGCCAATATCAAAAGTCTTTCAAAATGAAGTTTATTATCGTGGCCGTTTTCATGGCAATTTATTTGGCGGTTAACGTGCATTCAGCGTCCGTTACGCACAGCGTTTCCAAAGATAAATTGGCAGTCAAGGGCACCGTTGACGTGAGCTTAAACATTCCCATAGAAGAAGTTTGGGACAGTTTGTCTCAAGGTAAGAAACACTGACAACAATTTTTGTCGCAAAAACTTTGATCAGCTAGAGGCATATTCGCTCATAGCTGAGTACAATGTCTCACTCAATGTTACGAACTTTCTAATTGTATCCGGGTAACTGTGAAAGTCGACTAAAAGGAAATGAAAATGCGAAAACTAGTAGACTTGTAAGTCGGTTTTGTCACCACTGTTGCACCCCGTCTGAATTGTGAACTCTGCTCTTGAAATAACTGCACATGATTCTGCGTTTACTCTGGAAGTTCACAGATATCCCACCATTAACAGTGGAGACACTATCGCTCTGCGCTCGGCCTACACTTCTGGAAGCTACTCGAAGTATTGGTTCTACTGTTATACAGGTTACTGCTACTGGTACACTTGCCCAGGTACTATCATGACCTCCTCAAAATGGACCTCCTGCTCAAAGAGAATGATGTTTACCATCACTGCCAAGGGAAAGACGGATGGAGAGCCAATCAACAGTGGCGATACTGTTTCATTCAAACCCAACTACTATAGTAGCAGTTACCGACTGTACTGCAGCTCTTCTTACAGCACCAATTGCTACGCACGATCGTAAGTGAATATCTCACCTGATCGCGAGTGAGCACGTCTTCACCTCTTGACTCCAATCCTCTAGTCTTAAAAGTAGTATCTTGTCGAAATAGGCTCAAGCCGCAATACACCCTGATATGCCTCAATCTTTTCTTAACCTTTTCATTAAAGTTCAAACTTCGAGATATAAATTCTCCCTACATGTTTGTCATAAAATTGCTTTCATTAATTTTGGTACATTTAATTATACAATATATCGACATATCCCAAAGTGGAAGATTTTCTTAATTTCGTGTCCTGATTGCTCGAGAATATTCTGTTTATAATGTTAATTTTGGACTCGTTGTGTTTATAGAGTCACCAGTTCCATGACAGGAAGCGCCTGGCTGAGCTATTCGTACGTCACCTTTGAGATCTACTCCAAGAACGCTGATGATGGGTCCCCTGTGCAATATGGTGACGTGGTGGGCCTCAAATACCCGTACAGTTCTAACAGTGCCTGGCTGACTTATTACAGCAGCAGATTTTATCCCCGTAGCTGCAGCAGCAGCAGCAAAACATCATGCGCAAAGGAAAATACACTTACTGGATTTAAGATCTTCAAGAAGTTGCCATAGAAGAGCTGAAATTCCCAAATCCTTAACCAAAGATTCAAGCAGAAACTATAGAGTTGTAGATTTTTTGCGTCATCGCTAAAGGAGTTAGGGGGTTTAACTTAAGTTTTGGACAAATTCATTTATATTGTTGCCAAGGGTTTGCTTTGTTTCCAATAAAACAGTTGAGGAATTTGAAAAGAAAAATGTGTGATGTTTCTTGTGGATTAACTCAATAGAATGTGAGATCAATGTTCATCAGATCCACCATGAAAGCATTTCACTGTAAAAGATAGGAACAAATTACGTTTTAAAATTTTCCCTGAGATAAATTTTCCCTCTCAGCTGTTGTAAAGCGACTTTCTCTTTTTTATCATCAAAACATAGAAATTATACGCGGAAAATGGTCGAAAAAGACACCTTTTAAGTGAAAATGGGCAAACACAGAACATAGAAAAGAAATAAGTACGCTGTCACTCGGTTATTTTGATTCCGGTCCTCGGAAGTCTCTCACAGGTTCAAACAACTTACGAAATTTGCGTTTTTTTTTTTAAAAGAAAAAAAAAAAAAAAAATTTTCTGGTTGCTGAAAAGCTGAAATCCAGCAGTGTCTGATCTCCTAATTTCTAACAAATGTTCCTGTCAAAAAAATTTCTCAGCTGGCAGACAAAAAACACGAATTTTATTACACCCACTAGGTGGTTCTCAACACCTTCGTCGGAAGAGGAAGGGGGAGGATTTGGGGGATGGAGTGGGTGTGATTACAGGGCCGCCATATCTTTTCCTTCAGCGGAGGGGCGGGGGATTGCGCCCATACCAAACACATGAAATAGACAATCTCTGGCTTAGGATTAGGTTAATAAGCATGAATGCCCCTTGATTTCCACTAAGCAGGAACTCGACTAGGGAAAATATATTTTAGGGAACAGATCCGTCGCATGCCCCTGCGTGTAGAGACAAACAATGTGAAATCTGTACTTCAGTCTCTAACTCTTTTATTTCGCTTGGATAATGTCAAGCCCGAAAACTGAGAACAATCCTTCTGGTGGCATCTGACTCAAATCCACGAGTTCAGTTTGATAAAGTGTGAGACTCGATGCGAAGGTATTTAGATCGACATGCTGGGACCAAACGGCCTTAAACACGGTCATTTAGGGCAAGTTTGCGGCCTTTGCACATTTTTTAACAAACTTTGCACACTGCCTTGGATCGTTGTCTTGATCATTTCAAGTGTAACAAAATGTCAAATGTCATATTGCGACGTCATATTTGATGACGTCACAAAAACGTGTTATACAAATTTTCTAATTTCAAACCACCAAATGCCAAATCATTTAAAAGAGCATGACTAGGGGACTGTTATACTGAAAACCGTTCCTCGCTATGACAAATATTTCTCGAGTTATAGCAATTTAAAGAGATTTCAGTGTTCCCCCGGAACCATACTGTTCTTCTAAAATCAGCCCCCTTGATTTTTTTTTCTTCAGTTTACTTTGAGGAACTCTGAGAATCTGCTAATATAGAGTACTTTAGTGCTGCTAAAAATCGTATCATTTTAGATTTTTTAGTTTTGGTCTCTTCAACAAGTTTTTGTTGTTTGAATAACTGATGACGTCACTTCTATTGACATCACAAATACGTTTTGAGGAGCTTATTAGAATGGCAAGAAAAACATTGATGGGCATTTTTTGGATTACACCTGTTCTTCTCATATAGTACAGTCAATATGCAACATAAGTGAGATTGCCAACAGAAAAACATACCTTCAATTTGAAAATATTTATCGAGGGGGGTCACCGTTTTTGGGTTGAGCATTCTCTAAAATTTAAAATGTCATATCTCCTTTAATTTTTGAGATATGGACAAACAATTTTCAGCTTTTAACTACTCTTGCTGTGCTCTTTCTAAAGAAGGACAAAAACGTTGGAATTTAAAAACTTTTACTTAAGGTTATGGCATGACGTCATTAACTGTGACGTCATAATTTGATATTTGCTGTCAATTTTGTTGTCTTTTCGCGAAACTTGCCAAATTTCGCGACAAGATATTTACTACGTTTGAAGTTATGCTGATATAACCAAAATTGGCGACACCTTAATGACCGTTTTCAGGGCCGTTTGTGTTTGCTGCAAGTCTTCAGAATTCAGATCTCTCACTTTACCCCAAAAGCTTCATGAGACCTCATGAAGCCTTTGGAGTAAAGTGAGAGATCTGAATTCTAACGACTTGCAGCAAACACTGGCTAGCTAGATTCTTTCCTAAAAATTTGCCTGAAGAGCAAAGCTTTCATGATTTCGATAACTGAAAGGCTTCCATTAGATGGTGTCTCGTTTCATAATTTAGTCAATTTCAGTTTTCATCAGCTATTCATTGTAAAATCAAAAAAACCCCTCCGACACCAGGTTAGGGTTACTTTCCCCGTTCAATAAATTTATTCTAAATAATTGTTTCATATATCCTGAAGAAACAAAAACATTAAACAACAAAAAGATTTTTTCCTATCATAAAACTCGTTCGATCGTTGAAAAAGTGTTTAGACGATGAACATTTTTCTTAGTTTAAGCTCATTTTCGCTGACGAAATCCACGGTTCAGTTTGATAAAGTAGGAAGCTCAATGCGAATTCATTTAGATGTGAAGCCTCATCAGGCTTATGCAGTAAAGTGAGAGGTCAGAATTTGGAAGTGTTCATCTTAAACCGGCTGAATTATTCCAGGAAACGGAACTCATGAAAAAATGTCACTTTCTTCTTCTCACTTTCACTCACTTTATCAGGGAATGCGTTACTGGTGTGAATATAATATTCAGTTATGAAAGGTTCTGCAACCGATTGAATGTTTCTCAGTAATCAGTCCTGGGTGGCTGTGGGGGGGGGNTGTTTTCATGGCAATTTATTTGGCGGCTAACGTACATTCAGCGTCCGTTACGCACAGCGTTTCCAAAGATAAATTGGCAGTCAAGGGCACCGCTGACGTGAGCTTAAACATTCCCATAGAAGAAGTTTGGGACGGTTTGTCTCAAGGTAAGAAACACTGACAACCATTTTTGTCGCAAATACTTTGATCAACTACAGGCATATTCGCTCATAGTCGAGTACAATGTCTCACTCAATGTTACGAACTTTCTAATTGTATCCGGGTAATTGTCAAAGTCGACTAAAAAGAAATGAAAATGCGAAACCTAGTACACTTGTAAGTTGGTTTTGCCATCGCCGTTACACCCTGCCTTAATCGTAAACTCTGCTCTTGAAATAACTGCACATGATTCTGCTTTTACTCTGGCAGTTCACAGATATCCCACCATTAACAGTGGAGACACTATCGCTCTGCGCTCGGCCTACACTTCTGGAAGCTACACGAAGTATTGGCTTGCCTGTGGTACATCTTACTGCTTCTGGTATACCTGCCCAGGTACTATCATCATCTCCTCAAGATGGACCTCCTGCTCAAAGGCAATGATATTTACCATTATTGCCAAGGGAAAGACGGACGGAGAGCCAATCAACAGTGGCGATACAGTGTCACTCAGATCCAACAACTATGGTAGCAGTTACCGACTGTATTGCAGCTCTTCTTCCAGCAGCTATTGTCGCATACTCTCGTAAGTAATTTCAGCTCTTGACTCTAATTCTATACTTTTTGACATAGTATCTTGTCGAAATAGACTCAAGCCGTAATTAACAGATTTGCCGAATCTTTTTTTAACCTTTTCATTCAAGCTCAAACTTCGAAATATGAATTCTTCTTACGTGATTGTTATAAAATTGCTTTAATTAATTTTGGTACATTTAATTACACAATATATATGGAAGATTTTCTTAATTTCGTGTCCTGACTGCTCCAGAATGTTCTGTTTATAATATTGATTTTAGACTCGTTGTGTTTGTAGAACCACCAGTTCCATGACAGGAAGCGCTTGGCTGAGGTATTCGTACGCCACCTTTGAGATCTACTCCAAGAACGCTGGTGATGGGAGCCCTGTGCAATATGGTGACGTGGTGGGCCTCAAATTCCCGTACAGTTCTAACAGTGCCTGGCTGACTCAGTACAGCAACAGATTTTATGCTCGTAGCTGCAGCAGCAACAGCAAAACATCATGCGCAAAGGAAAACACTTGGACCGGCTTTAAAATCTTCAAGAAGTTGTCATAACTGAAGTTTTGAAAGGTTGAAATTCCAGAATCCTCAACCAAAGATTCAAACAGAAACTGTAGAGTTGTAGATTTTTTTTTTTACGCTATCGCTATAGGAGTTAAAGGGCTAAACTTAAGCATCGGGAAAATTCATTTGAATTGTTGCCAAGGGTTTGCTTTGTTTCCAATAAAAGAGTTGAGGAATTTAAACAATATGTGATGTTTCTTGTGGATGAGCTCAATAGAATGTGAGATCAATGTTCATCAGATCCACCATGAAAACATTTCACGGTAAAAGATAGGAACAAATTACGTTTTGTAAAATTTTCTCTGAGATAAATTTTCCCCCTCAGGCGTTGTAAAGCGACTTTCTCTTTTTTGTCATCAAAACATAGAAATTATACGCGGAAAACGGTCGAAAAGTGAAAATGGGCAAACACAGAACACAGCAAAGACTGAAATAAGTCCACTGTCACTCGGTTATTTCGATTCCGGTCCTCGGAAGTTCAAGTCTCACACGTACAGGTTCAAACAACGAAATTTGCGTTGTTTTAAAACAATTTTCTGGTTCTCGAAAACTTGAGCTGAAATCCAGCAGAGTGTGTGACCTTCTACTTTCTAACAAATGTTCCTGCCAAAAAAAAAATGTTTCAGCTAGCAGACAAAAAAGAGCCCCTCCCAGGGGTTTTAGGGAACAAGGGAACTGGAACATTTATTTTCAGGGAACAGGGGATATGTTCAGTTTATTTTCAGGGAACAAGGGAACTCTTGAGTAGATTTTTGGGAACAAGGGAACACCAATCTATTTTCAA